GTATCAGGTGGCTGAAATTGCATTTACTCATATTTGGGTCTTCAATTTTGTTCCATTGATCTGTGGGTCTATTTTTATGCCAGTACCTTGTTGTTTTTATGACTATAGCTCTGTAATACAGCTTAAAATCTGGTATAGTAATCCCCCCAACACTGCTCTTACTGCTCAGGGTTGCTTTGGCTATCCGAGGTCTTTTGTACTTCCATATGAATCTTAGGAGGTTTTTTCCAATTCTGTTAAAAATGTCATGGGGATTTTCATTGGCATTGCATTGAATCTATAAATGACTTTTGGTATGATGGTCATTTTCCCAATATTAATTCTTCCAGTCCATGAGCATGGGAAGTTCTCCATCTTCTGATGTCTTCCTCAAGCTCTTTCTTTAAAGATTTAAAAATTTCATTGTAGAGGTCTTTAATGTCTTTGGTCAGTTTTATTCCGAGTTTTTAGTTAGTTTTTTTTTTTTTTTCAGCTATTGTGAAGGGGAGTGTTTCCATGTGCTCTTTCTCTGATTGCTTGTTCTTGGTATATAGAAAGGCTACAGACTTTGTAGGTTAATTTTGTAACCTTCCACTTTTCTGAATGTGTTAATAATATCTATGAGTTCTGTGTGATAATATGATCTTTCTTTTCCATTTATTACTCTTTTAATTTCCTTCTCTTGTCTTATTGCTCTTGCAAGAGTTTCAAGAACTATGTTAAAAAGGAGTAGAGAGAGTTGACAATCTTGTGTGGTTCCTGATTTTAATGGGAATGCTTCCAGTTTTTCTCCATTTACAATGGTGTTGTCTATGGGTTTGTTATGTATGGCTTTAATTATGTTGAGGTATGTTCCCTCCAGTCCAATTCACTCTAGGACTTTGAACATAAATGCATGTTGAATTTTGTCAAAGGCCTTCTCTACATCTATTGAGATGACCATGTGATTCTTGTCTTTGAGCCCATTTATATGATTTATGGCGTTTATTGACTTACGTATATTGACCCATCCCTGCATCTCTGGAATAAAGCCAACTTGATCATGGTGGGTGATCCTTTTGATGTGCGTCTGTATGCAGTTTGCAAGTATTTGATTGAGAATTTTTGCATCTATGTTCATTAAGGATAGGGGTCTATAGTTTTCTTTTTGGTTGTATCTTTACCAGACTTTGGTATGAGAGTGATGCTGGCTTCATAGAAGGAATTTGGAAGTTTTCCCTCCATTTCTATTTTTTTGAATAAATTAAGTAGTATTGGATGTAGATCTTCTTTAAATGTCTGGTAGAATTCTGCTGTAAATCCATCTGGTCCTGGGCTTTTTTTAGTCGGGAGGTTTTGTATTACTGTTTCAATTTCTTTTTGTAATATGTGTCTGTTTAACCTGCTAATCTCTTCTTGGTTTAGTTTTGGTGATTCCAATGCTTTTAGGTACCTGTCCATTTCTTTTAGGTTTTCAAATTTAGAAACATATAGGTTTTTATATTATTCCCTTATAATATTCTGGATCTCTTTGGTGCCTGTTGTGATGTTTTCCCTTTCATCTCTGATTTTGTTGATTTGGAGGTGCTCTTTCTTTCTTTTGGTTAACT